ACGCTTATGGCAGTGGTGGGCATACTGCAGGCCACTTCTGTCTGGTCTGCAGCTGCCCTGGCTGCCGCACTCCCCCAGCCACTGCTTGTTCACTGGGACACTAGAGCCCTGTAATTCCTATGCCTCTCTCTCCTTCCCAGCACTTTTGGAGCTCGAACAACTGCAAACACCTGATTTGTTGCATTCCACCTGTTCTGGGAGGAAAAGAGAGGAGGGGGGATGGAGTATGAATGAGATGATTCACATGCTCCAAAAGTGCTGTGGGGGTGCCCAGTACGTGAGAAGTGTGTGGGGAGGGGCACAGAGAAGGAGCAGCAAGTGGAACCCCACTGGGCTGGGAGTTGTTGTGGCCCTCTTAGGTGAATGAGGGACACTCATGAGGTCTATATACTTCCTGCCAGCCCCATGATTTTTTCCTCACGACCTCCAGGGGGGAAAAAACACATAAATTTATCTTACTATAAATGACAATATATTTTTCAATCATAATTGAGAGAGGTGCAGCCATGTAATTATATGTTCATTTTAAGATAAAAATCCCATCTAATTAGTATCAGTGTATTTCTACATAAGTGTGGAAAAATAGTAACCAACCCTGATGAAAAAAATTAACCCTATTAATATTTAATGTCAAAGTAACTCGCATGATGTGTAGCTAATTTGTAATTAAATTAGCTTAAAATAAAATAAAGCTTTGTGCAATGTTTCAGTTTAGGATTAAATCCATACATAAGGCTTATAAAATTACAATGATTTGAAAGCTCAAGTCTTCCTACAAACGAACAAACTATTCCTGATTTTTCAACATAACACGATCTCTGTCATTAAAAAGAGCTACGATCATTGCTGTATATACGAAGCTGAAACTTAAATTTAATTATTCATGGATCATATAAGGCTTCCTTACAAATCTCTTTGGATGAAATATGGGGTGTAAGATGTTTTATTTTTATTACCATAGCACCTAGGAGCCCTAGCCATGGACTAGAAAAAGAGGTGCTTGAACTATTCCATTTTAATGGTGTTGCCAAAGTTGTTGTTGACTGGGAGTCCCAGTAAGTCTGAAGCCCAAGCCGTATTCCACGGGGGTGAATCCTTACTACCTTGGGTTAAGATTACATGATCCCCACCCAGGGCAAATACCCTTGGACTTCAGCTTTGGCCCTGCTGCCCCACTGTAGCTGGGGTTCAGGCGGACTGTGTCTTCAGTTCCCCCTCCCTAGGTCATGTCATTTTTGTTGTCAGAAGGAGGTTGTGGTGCTGTGAGGTCTGAAAATCCACTGCACTAGAACCCCCGTGTTCTTTGTGCTACACAAGTGCAGAAAATGATGGCTCCTGCCCCAAAGAGCTTATCATGTATGTATATCCTTGTTTTGAAATTTAGGAGCAATGGATCTGTCAATACATTTCCTTTGACATCAGTGTTTTGCCTCTAATCAAAACCGCTTAAGTTATAGGAAGAAAATGTCATCCATTTCAGTAGTCTCTAGTCTGAATTAATAACAGTTTGTTTCATGGTGCTTGCTATTGCGAACATTAACAGTTTTTTGGAAAAACCTATAGCTATTTTCAGATATGCCAACCAAAATAGGTCATTTGTCTTGTACTTTATATTATGCGGCTTTATACTGCACCTTTTTTTTAGTCAGGCTTCTTGTATAAGTTTATGCCAAGGGAACTAGCACACCTAAAATGACTACTTACCTTTTTTAAGCATTTGCTTTTTATAGGCCCAATATTTAGGTTTCATTTGACTGTCTCCAGACTTGGAAAAGGCAATTTCTATTCTCAGTTTAGCAATTTTTTTTCAATAAGTGCATGTTTTCATATGCTGTTGACATTTCAATTCATTTTCACTTGAAAATAATAACAATAATGGTTTGGTCCCAAGTAATGTTATGAGAAGAATGATATTAACAAAACTCAGGAATACCACTAAAAGGACAATATAAAAAATTCAGTATGTTCATCTGTATCTCTGGAGTATGCCTTTGAATAGCTTCCCACACTTGGAAGTGGTGTTCTGCATTTAAGATTTACATTGTAATTTCCCATGAGTTTTACCTAAAATTTAGAGCATAATAAAAATACACTGTTCTTTGTCATATTTTGTAAAGCTGCAGATATCCTGGAAATAATTTCTTAATCATTTAGTTGTCCTCGCTCTTTACATAAGTTCAGTGCAAACTTTTGAATGGAAATTGGTTATTACGAGTTTAACTTTCCATGCTATATGAAAGATTTGAAAGACCAGGGAGGATGATAGGGACATAAAAAAAAAATTACAGCTTTTCTGTAGAAGGAGGTTCTTTCTAAGAAATAAAAGGTATTAACAAGACTACAAAGAAGATAGGCATTTTCCTGTAACACTTTATTGCTTTTGTTTCAGTGATCCTTAAAACAACACACAGTGACATGTAGCAGCTAATGGAGTCTGTCTTTTCACCAAAGAGAAAAGTACTACATTTCTAACAGATGTATGTGTCCAGATTTAAAATAAATCATTCCCAAAGCAATAAAGTAGTAAAATTGGAAACGTCAGTTTCCACAGCATAATAGATCATCCTTGCCAAGAGAAGTCAATGGAACCTTTTTAGTAGGATGGGATAAATTTAGTAATTTTGAACTAAATCTTCTCTTAGAATGACAGACAATATTGGATATAAAATATGAAGTATGATTTTGGACCCACATAAGGAAAAATAATCTGGATCCTATTTTTTAATTCCAGAAGAAAGTTTTAGTGACTATGTTGGTAATGCATACTGATTACATTATTGAGCTTGTTATTTAAGCTGTCTTGATATATGGGGATGTCCTTTTGGATGTACATATTAAATAGCTAGTGTCTTCATAACTGAGTCTCAAGGGTAGTGGTGGGCAACCTGCGGCCTGCTGGGGCTCCACCTGCAACTCACTAACCCCTTTGCTGACCCACCTCCCTCATGTGCCTCTTGCACACTGGATGTGCCTCTTGCACACTGGGGCACCAAAGTCTTGCAATTCCTACATCTTTCCTCTCCCTTTAAGCGCTTTCAGAGGAGCTGCAAAGTGCCAGATTCTTGGAATGCTGCAAATCAATTGTTCATGGCATTCCAGCTCTGGGTGAGAGGGTGAGGCCTGGGGACCGAGGATGAACCAGGCAATTTGCATGCTCTGAAATGCTGGGAGGGGAAATAGCAAGTAAGAGTAGGGCTCTAGTGCCCTAAGATGCAAGAGACGCATGGGGAAGAGAGCAGACAGAGAAGCCGTGGGGCATAGGTAGTCTGAGGGCTGCTACGGCCCATTGAGGTGAAGGAGGGCAACTCATGCAGCCACCCCACTATTCGTGGTTGCCTATCCCCGCTCTAGGGTAATAGTGACATTTTTGGGATAAAGGCAGCCATCTAGCAAGAAATAGTCTATTACTATATCAAGTATGTTCATAAAAAGTACAGTGATTCAGCAACATATGCTTCTCACTTACATGTGCTGCAAGGAGGAGTGGCTGGATACAGTAGGAGATCTTCAGAATAGCCTCTGAGTAAATCCAGAATTGCCCCCATTTAAAGTTATGCACTCTCCTCTGATTAAGATCCTGGTACATATTGAGCACCAGTGCTAATAGCCTGAGATTTTGACAGCACAATTATTTTATCATTGTATCTGGGGAAAGGAACTCATGAGAAGAAACAGGAATGCAAGAGGGGTATATATTAAATATTGTATATTATGGATTGAATTTAAAACTGCTGTTAATATACTAAATAATTCTTTTCTAATAAGCTACATGAGAGAGACTACTTTAGTACATTCTTCATGGTGTGTATATTGACACCATTTGGGAACAAGCTAACTTAAGAGGAGCTTTACTTTAAAAGTGTATGAATGCTAGCACTCTGATCAATTTGACTAAGGCTGTGAGTCACTCAAGACCTAGTTACTAAGAGACATACAGGCAGTCCCCGGGTTACGTACAAGATAGGGACTGTAGGTTTGTTCTTAAATTGAATCTGTATGTAAGTTGGAACTGGTGTCCAGATTCAGCTGCTGCTGAAACTGATCACTTTCAGCAGCAGCTGAATCTGGATGCCAGTTCTGACTTGCATACAGATTCAACTTAAGAACCCCAGGCGTCCCCAAGTCAGCTGCTGCTGAAACTGATCAGCGGCTGATTCCAGGAAGCCGGGGGCAGAGCAGCTGGGCCGCCCCCCCCCC